CATATAAAGATAAAACTCGACCTTCGTACACAACATTAGGAAGAATCATATAAAGATAAAACTCGACCTTCGTACACAACATTTGGAAGAATCATATAGAGATAAAACTCGATCTTCGTACACAACATTAGGAAGAATCATATAAAGATAAACTCGACCTTCGTACACAACACTAGGAAGAATCATATAAAGATAAAACTCGATCTTCGTACACAACATTAGGAAGAATCATATAAAGATAAAACTCGATCTTCGTGCACAACATTAGGAAGAATCATATACAACAAACCCAGGGCAAAAACCTGAGATCTATGATTAAAGAAGAGAAGCATTAACAGAAGCTACACTGTACGAGTTGCATTTAAAATTAACCAAGGACATTCATAAAGTACTGTGGTCAAGTCGTAATATTAGATAAATTGAATTATGAAAACAAAATCAAAGAATTGTTAGATGATGGTTCTTATGAACGAAAAAGGACACCACCTCCATGGTTCATAATAGGTTAAAATGGCATTTAAAACTGTGCTATTTGACACCACAAAGGAAAAACTAGTCCGCTCGGGGTTCATTTTACGAAAATTCTTTGCTCTACCTAAAATCCACAAAATTGGTATCGCCTTTGGTCCAGTTGTGGACAATATAGGTTCATCATTTTATCCTTTATCAAAACTTATTAGTTGGAAATGTTCTTTTTTATCGAACTCTCATGAATATACAGTGGAAAATTTGTTTTATTTTGTTAAGAAAATCTAGGGGTAAATATATAATTAATTGATAAATTAGTCTCTTTTGACATTTTGTCACTGTTTACGAATGTTCCAGTTATGGAGGCTCTAGATTGCTTGAAAAATAGATTACTGGAGAGTAAGAAATTTTCTCTGCTTTAGGTGAACGAAATTTTAAAGTTTACCTATGAGTGTGAGTTAAATACATATTTAAGGTGGAAAATAAATTGTTTAAACTGATTAAAGGTTTAGCGTTTGGGTCTACCGTGTCCCCTCCTTTGTGCGAATTATTTATGTTCAATTTTGAAATGATGTTTAACACATCTAAGTTAACCTTTAGTGTGGTTAAGGTATGTAGATGACAAGTTTTTAGTATGACGGAATGATGTTGGGACTTTATTAATTCGATCAGTCCTACCATCACATTTACGTTAGAGATGGATTAAGAGGGTCAGCTAAATGTATTAGATAGAACCGTCAAACGGAACAATAGACGACTCTCGACTACGGAAGAGAGAAGACTTTGAAAAGTTAAGCTTTTATAGATTTCTGAAAACTATTTATGCTTAATATTATCATTTGTAGTAATTTGGGTTAAATAACACAAGAATAATTAGATACAGTAAGACTGGTAAATAAACGTGAGACGGTCAATGGCCCGGCATAGCCAGGTGGTTATGGAGCTCGACTCGCAAATTGCGGTCGTGAGTTCGAATCCCCGTTCCACCAAACATGCTCGCCCTTTCAGCCGTGGTGGCGTTTTAATGTTACGGTCAATCCCACTATTCGTTGGTAAAAGAGTAGCCCAAGAGTTGGCGGTGGGTGGCGATGACTAGCTGCCTTCCCTCTTGTCTTACACTGCTAAGTTAGGGACGGCTAGCGCATATAGCCCTCGTGTAGCTTTACGCAAAATTCAAAACAAACAAACAAAAAAACAGACGGTCAAGGTTTTAACTTAGAGTTTAGTGGTGCAAGTTTTACTATAACATTAAAATAAGCTTAGGTATATTTCAACTTACTGGTAAATCGTAAAACAGGTTAAAAACATTGTTTTATTAAATAAATGCAATTTAAAAACTAGTTTATTGTCTCTTCGTGTTTCAAGAACTAAGTTGTTTAAATTCAGCCTATAGTTACAGGTAGGTTATGTTATAATATAAGTTAGGCTAAATACATTGTATTATTAACATTACGTATACATCAAGTACTCGTTATTGTCACTTCTAATAAAGTTCTATTTCTAACTGCTATATAATTAATGATTAATTTTATTACTTCAGTGTGAAGACAAACTAGTAATAAAAATATAATTGGTTCTCAAACGTTAAGTTTAACAGTAACAGTGTTGTCAATAGGCTACTGGTATTTGGTATTAGTATAAGTATTGTTACGTCTCTGGTCGTTTGTTAATTTCCCGTAAAAATTCTTCCCGAAGAACTTCAGCGATACAAGTCCTTTCTTAAATAAAACTAGTTTATTCTTTCTCAATACAACTTTTCAATACACGGAATTTCCACGGTCACTTTAACTTGAACACACGCTATACTTCACAACGGTTCACGCACTTTACTTACGGTCACTACCGCTCATTTGATTCAAATATCTGTCTATATCTCTCTATCAGCAATCCAAGTTCCGATTAACTTGTCTCGCTTTATCTGCCGCGCTTATATATAGTAATAGAGGGCGTCTAGCAAATACTGGATTATTCGTGATGTTCCCCGAACCTTCTAGATACTCATTACGTGTTACCAGCGTCACGCGAATTGCGCTGTCGTAACAATATAAATAGAACGGTTAAGACTAGTGTAGGAATTAAGTGTTCCTGGGTGTAATTGGTGCAATGAGTGGGTTTATTTGGGAACTCAGGACTGGTATGTACTTTTAAGGAATCTAGTAATGAAGATGTGAAATTTGTAGGTTGGAGAAGTTGGAGGCTATCATAATTAAAGTAGAGGTGGTAGATAAAGAGAAGTGTAGATTGTGTGAAATGGCAGCAGAATTTCAGGAGGAGCTAAAGCTTTTGCATGCAAGGAATACATCAGCTAACAATGACTTTCAGGAAGTTAGCGTACTATTAGGACTAAAAGTAGTGAATTTAATTGTAATGAGCCTATTCTGTTGACCAACAGATTTCAGCTCTTGGCTTCTGCAGCCAAGGAAAACAAAAGGATCAGAGAACGATGTGGATGATAAGTAGGTTATAGTTTTAGGTATGTGGATAATGTAGTCTGTGGTGTAAATAGGGAGAAAAAAATCAGATTATGCTACCCAGGGACACAGGTAGAGGATATAACTGACAGAACAGGAGATATAATAAAAGGGGTTAGAAGAGGTGCAGTTTTTGTGGTACATGTAGGGGCTAATGATGTAAGGAAAGACAGGTCATAGGAGCTTATTAATAAGAACAAGGAGTTGATAAAGGTATTTAAAGAAAAAGGACATAAACTAATTTTGTCAGGGACACTGCCTAGAATTAACTATGGGAATAAAGTTATAAGTAATTCACTAGAGCTAAATGCTAGG